GCAAAGAGGAAGAGGAACAAGAAATCACATTCGACCAGGAGGAGCTGCAGCAGTGAGCTCACCGATACACTGCACTGTGTGTAGAGCCTTAAAGGTTTTGGTTGACTTCAAATGATTCTTCCGAATCGCTTGGTGTGGAGCGCATTGCTTTCTGTAACGGTGCAGTGGCTGCCCACTCGCTTCAGAGTTTTTCGTTTCTTCAAAGACGGTAGCCGATATCTGAGCCTTAGCTGCATTGCATCGGTCTACTTATCAGCTGCATGTCTGGAGCACGTTTCCTGTGTGATATATCATTGTGCGCGTCAGGCTGCTGTCAGAGAAAGAGCCCTTGGATGGCAGAACTCGAACTCGAGGAAAATTGGCATCTGATCAACCAGCGCAAGCTGGTCATCTCGGCCAGTCAACGGGCAGAAAGCAGAGAGATCGGGCATCTTTAGGCGCGCCATGGAAGACCAAGAAAGTCGCCGAAGATGCTAAGGTTAGGGGGCGCAGCGAGAATTCATCCAGCGCTCAGGTGCAGCGCCACTCAGTTGAGACACATTTCAATTGTTGATGGGAAGATGGACATACGAAGCTCCCAGAAAGTGTAAGAGCATGTGCGCGTTCCATGGCCAGCGTGGCCTCGAGTACCTCTAATTGCAATTCCAATTTTGCCCTCCTTTGCTCATGCCCGTGCAAATACTTTCGGATGCATTAGCAGCATGTTATATTCACACCCAGGCACCCAGGAAGCGACGAAGGGCTCTACAAGTACTTCCAGGAAAATGCAAGTATACACATCACTTTGTGGCCTTCTTGCATCCAACTTCGTTTGCCCTCAATCAATTCCACTTTTTGCCACTCTGGAGCGTTGGCATCCGAGTCTGACACCTTCTTAAGCATCACCGCATCTCGTCAAAAAAGTGAGCCAAAAGTTTCCCGGTGACTTATTTGTGTCCGCTCAACTTCAAAAAACCTCGCCCTCAGGTCGCTGGAGGCCTTCCCAGGGGCACCATTTCCAGCTCACCCTCTCCCATGGCGCTCACCGGCCCGAAGAGTCGCGCAGGCGCCCCACAGCAGCCCGACCCCAACAAGCTACCTCCCGGCCGCAATCTCCAGTCCAGGTGCGGCAGGTTGGCGGAATCCAAGGCCTCGAGCCAGCAGAGGGCTTGTGCTTATTTTGGCTGCATTTCTCGAAACCTTGAAAGTAATTGACCTCGCGATGGTGGAGCCCGTCAGACGTCTGCCCCGTTGATGCACTATGCGGCAAATGATGTATGAACTTGTGCTTGCCTCCTCGACCACCCAAGGTTCACGCACGACAAATGCGCGGCAGCTCACGCTTCGTCGGTGTCCATCACCATTCGCATCCCGATGTTGCCACAACACCATGGGCCCAGTAGCTTTGCTGGCAGACAAAATGTGTAAGACTAAATCGACCTCGGTTGGACCTCGACATGCGTGCTTGCCACCCACTCCAATCTCTACCTCAATAGGAAATCACTCCCTACCGTGGATGAGTGAGGGCGAAGGGGAGGGCATCCTAAACATGCACCACCTCTCAAAGCATCCGCACATATATAATCCTGCCTTATCAAAGAGCGCCAAGTGAGCAATGGTTATCTCTGATTGTCTTGGGTATTTACTGACTCAAAGTGCGCCGGGGCAGACATTATAGAGAGCGCCCAAAAGTGACCTTGTAAATGCTTTGAAACAACCAAATAAATTCTTATCATCAACCAGCGGCATTGGCAAAAAAAGGCAAAATATGTGGTTAAGATTGCTTAACTGTGGACCGCGTCTTAGACGCGGATTGTATATTACATATATTGCATTTTCGACTAGCTGAAGCAATTCGAGTACGGCACTAATCCGTCTCACAGCGGCGTCTCGAAACCAAGACTTAAAAGTTCAGGTGTTGACAGAATGTTATGTACAATACGCCTCTGCCTGCTCTGCAATATTGCAATTGGTTGCCGTTTGAGTACCATTGCCATTGGGAGCATTAAGCTCTGATAATCGCAAGGCCGCGGCGCCGAGCGCTACGAAAATGGTACTCCTATGGGGTAACCCGGCCACTGCAGCCCACGCGCGAATTCGCTGATCGTCAATACCCTTTGTGCCAGGAGGGCAACGAGGGCGGCGGCGGTGGTTGGGCTGGATGTCTCAGAATTTGCCGCAAACTATATAGTGAGGAATATATTCCCTGGGAAACAATAGCAAATCAATATCGAACCACTGACTAACTGCACATCTGATCTGAAGGGCGTTCACCCACCTAACCGCTGCCTTTCATGCCCCAACCCAGATCCATCGCGGAGCAGCTGCTCCCCCATGCGCGCGGCTCCACCCAATCTCCCCGCTGCATCGGCGGCGCCGCAGCCACGGCCGGCGGGGGCGACCGGGCGGGCCCCGGCCCCGGGACGGAGCTCCGGGCGGACATGTCCAGCTGGCAGGGCGGCAGCTCGCTGAAGCTGCCGTGCCTGGCCTCTGGCCGGCCCGGGTCCGGGAAGCCGCCAGGAGGGCGAGGAGCCTCAGGTTCCGGGGCCCCTGGGGGCGGCAGGTCGAAGGGAAGGGCGCCGAGCGGCAGCGGCCTCAAAAAGACCCTCGGGAGGTGAAGGTGCCGCACAGGTAGAGCTGGGCGCGCATTCAGGAGACCAAGCGCATGGCTGAGGATATGCTCCATGTTGGCGTGTTTGCTTTTACATACTGTAGCTGAGCACAGTCCAAGTCTGCGGGTTGAAAACTGTCCGCGTTCGGCTCGGGTTGAAATCTGGAACGAGTTGGGACCCCATTTGATCATTTTGATGATAAGTTTGATCTTATTCACAGGCCAAGGTGTGCTCAGCGTGTTGGTTGATTGCCCAAGGATGAGCAGCCAAGCGATCAGTCTCTACAGTAGTTGCACATTGCCCTAAAGTCTAGCATTCAGACCTGTTGTCAGCAGCAACTGTATGCTGCTATGCATGCGCATCTGGGAATTGTACACAGATACACAGCACAGATATGGGGGCACGGTTACTGCTAAAATTACAGATACATACCCATAATCAATTGAGCGCAACCTTCCGCAATTGCACGCGCTCAGGCGGATACATACAGCAATGCAGAACTGCTTGTTGCGCAAGCTGCTGTGCCCTTCGTCCATGATCCTTCCCTGCAGCGCCTCGCCCTCGCAGTGTACGACGATCCCCTCGAGAGTGCAGAATGATATGCTCCGGAAATTGGTGGCCATTGCACTCGTGCCTTTCTGTTCTCTTTCTGCTCCAGCGCCCCCATCAACAAGTCATCAAAATATGCTTCGCCAATTTGGCATACAACGGACAAACTCTACGTGTACGTGCAACTGCAGCGAACATTCCAGTGCGGGCAATAATTCGTACTCAGGCCACCACAAGGCGTACGTGTTTACAAAACGCGGTTTCTTTCTGTTCTTCATTGAACAGTTTGTGTATTCGTCTGACAGGTGACACCAGTGCAGTCACGTTTTCACATCTGTGTGTATTGCCTGAAGGCAATTACAAAAGGGTGATTTGATCCTGTGTGCACCAGGCTTGCTACATACTTTTGCGACACCGTTTTTACGTTTATAGTTTACGCCTGAACACATGAACAGAGAAACGCCCGTTTTTACGGCCGTATTTACTACATGGGTCGATGCGTCGACGCACCCAGGTTGCATGGTGAAGTCGCAAATATTGATCAGTCCGCCACCGAGCACTGCATCGCAGTATCTACACCGTCCTCGGCAAGGGCAACGTCGTCGTCGAACAAACGGTCGTCCTCTGCCCACTCCTGCACATCTGGCTCCCACTCGCTGTACATGTACAAAGGGCCCACATTCACGGATTTTTACATGTAAGGGAAGACGCCATTTTGATTTTCGTTTGCTTAGCGTCAAATTGGCGTTAAGCTCAGCCTCCCTGCTATAGCGCCTGAAACATTGGTGGAAATGGAGGGGTCTTCGCCTCGTTGTTTTATAACGTCATCTTACCCTACTCCACACCCTCCCTTTTTCCTTAGCGGCATTCCTTATTTTGATGCCAAGATGACTCATCAACATTACCTATCAATGCCACACAACTTCACAAAGTTTTACGGGAAAAGCAGGAAAATTGCAGCGATTGCGGTGATTTGAAACATGGGATGCCAAAAGTACTGACAGGCGATGGGAGCAGCCCAAAAGGCTGAAAATTGATCCATCCGAAAGAACTTCCTCGATGATTGAACGTTTGAGGGAGGTTTTGCGAACATTCATGAGCTATTCGCTGCTGATCAGCGGCGCTTTTGTACATCTTCCCAACTTATTTTGATTTAAGTGCAATAACATAATCCCTTAGCATCAATGGCTAGAGCCCCACCACCACCACCTGACAAGAATTGCAGATGAAATGTCCCTTGTGTCCTCATTGAGCTTCTCAATCTGTTCTTGCTTGAACTTTGTTGATGCCTGGCAGATGATTTGCTCGTTCTGATGCACAGCAGCTCAGTGGCTGGATTGTGGCAAGGTGCTCGTGAAACAAGTCATGGACACTGCTTTACTCGGACGAAATAAGGAGCTGATGGTTGCACCCTCGCCTCAATACGTACGAATTTTTGATGATGAGGATGCCAGGCACATGTCTGAACTAAGATCTGATTCTTGCATGCGCAGATCACCTCGTCGATCAAGTGTCCATAAGACGCAAGGTGGACAACAGCACCTGGAACCAAACATCAGTAGATGGAAATGTGGCTGCAAAATTCCCATGCACTACCAGCCCATTTGGCAGCGCCATTCTGGACTTCTATTTCTGTATTCCATGTTAACCATCTGGTCGACTTTGAGTGCCTCGAGGTTGCCAAGCAGAGCTGCCCTTGACAGGGTTTCCCTGTTCTCCAACTCTCGTGCAGGCAGTGTCCCTTTCGGGCTCAGTGCCACTTTGGGCCAGTGCCCATTGCTACTTCGCATCGTGATGCCAATCACTTTAACCCCGCTTGGTATTGGTCATTGGCCAGTGCAACAATGCTCCTTGCACTCCTTAAGCACTATCATTTGGGCTCTTGGAGATCTTGAGTGCTGCTCCCCTGTGCCAGCAATGTTGCATTTCCAATATTGCGCCTGTGGAATGCACCCTATCACTCCAACTGCAGGGCTGCAGAAGCAAACGAATCCGCTGTACAGGCGGGGTCTTGAATAACAGAAATACACCACGTTTGATGCAATCGGAATCGAACATACTCAAACTAGTGCCGGAAATTCCATATGCAACACGGTTTCCTTTCGGAACGAAAAGGGCCAGCGTGCTCTCAACAGACAGGCGAAGGCACTGCAGCCTCACCTCTGACTGGGAACACTCAGGCTGGAAGTCCGACGCTGCATTAAAGACAATAATACATTGCAACATAGAATAATACCATTCCAATGCAGTCTGATCCACCCAATTCTCACTGAGCAGAATGCACAATGACTCCCACCAAAGCACAATCCCTGCCTGCTGCCAAAGAGCATTTAATTGACCAAAGGCTCCAGCAGGCAGGAAGGATGGTCGACGCACGGCTCTAAATCATCACAAGTTTTCAGCTACCACTAACACACCCCATGGCACACCCAAACTAACCCCAATTCCTACACCACAGTCATATTTCATTTGTGTGACATACTGCAGCAAACCCAACCCAAAACCCACCCCTCCCCCCCACCCCCACACAAAACCCGCCTTCCAGATGCCCCCATCCACTTCTTCTCAGCCCAGCCCACCCGCCACTGTCAAATCGTTAACCATGAACATCTGCTGCCTGCAACATCACTAAAGCTGCTTCAGTGCCTCCCGTGCAAAGGGGCTCCATTGGGACGCACAGCTGAATTCTCCGATGTCCATCCCCTGCTTCATACCCCTCAGCAACTGGACGACACGCAAGATGAGATAGTAGTCAGGGGGAAAGTGGGTGATGCCACTGCTCTTGATGGGGCTACTTTTGTCAAAGGGATCAACCCTGCCAATGGTGTTGAACATGCCATGGGCCATGCGAGCACGCAGGTCCTTGTCATCCCGTTCCGTGACGACTCCAAGATCTTTCAGTGCTCCATCAATGTCCTGCACATTACACCTGCAAGAAAGATTCACAAGTGTGCATTCAGTGATAGTCAGTGACCTCAGTGAATCAGACCCTTGGGCTGCTAGCCTGGAAGATCAGTGCACCAAAGAGCGCACCGAAAAGCAAAAACTCAGTAGCACTGCCACCATCCAGAATGCCAACTTGTGAGCTCACTAATCAATTTGAAGTGCCTAGAGCTCCAAGTTGTAGACTGCCAATAAGTGTGACAAGCTTCATTGCTTCAACGATTTGTTCCATGCCAAGCATGGACAAACATGGGGAGTAGACCCACAAACTCTGATACCCACTGCCACACAGACACAACATGCACAACACCACACGTGTGTGCACAATAACATTCAGAGTGCCTGGCATTTGACTCTGAGACCAGCCAAGGAAGGGCATGAACATGCTGAGGCAGGGGTGAGCCACAAACCTGTTCAATGCAAGCACAAGATTTGCAAACAATCTGCGTTCTTCTTCACCAAGCTGTTTTGACTGCCCATAATCCAGCAGGGCAACTTTGCCACCCTCCAACACCAAGATGTTACCTGGACAAGGCAGTAAGAACGGTTGGCAACATATTGATCAACATTTAAGCAAATCTGGCTCTTGATGTTATGAAGTCGATGAGACTCAGCCATCCAGGCAGCAAAGTACTGAGGCATGGGCCTGCTAGTATCAGCTGCTTGTTTGACATCATTTCTGATGCAAGGTCAGGGGAATGTGTGGCAGCAGAAAAGAATCGTTAAGCATTGCCATCGATCAATAGAGGCTGCTGTTAGAAGCCAGCTCGTATGCACTGCCGTTTTGGTTATAAAGCCATTGTGCCATGCTGACACGTAGAAAGTTTCAAGGGGCACACGAGTGCGCATTCAGTGCTGGAGAACACCATGGCAATAAAGAAGATTGCTGGATGATGGCCTATTCATCCCAGACCTTTGCATGTCAGAAAACTGTTGGACAGTGAACAGGATGGCTGAGAGTGTGCTCAGCGCCCATATAGGATGGATGAAAAAGGTGCCTGATGCTGTACCTGGGTGACCATCAGCCTGGAACAGTCCATCAATCAATATCATTCGCCCGTATGCTTCGGAAACTCGGGACAGTATTCTTCGCTTGGCGATTCGCTGCTTCCGTAGGGACAAGCCAGCAGTTCGCGACTGTAGCGATCGAAGTGGAATGCCATTCACATAGTGCATCACAAGCAACCTTGGAGTAACGAGCCCAGGAACGCTCCTGGGAATAATTACTCGCTTCGATATGGAGCGCAGGTTCTGAGCGATGATGTCCATCACACGCGCTTCCCTGCGGAAGGAAAAGCAGCAACTGGATGAAGTCCACTTCTGCCTGTTGAATGCAATGAGGCAAACACAGGAGGAAAGCTGACCATCATACAAAAATCGACACAGGACTGCAATGCAGCCATTTGGTATGCCGTAGCTGCAGGGAGCTACCCCTGAGTACATCGGCCTGTAGCTGCGAAGGACAAGCAAGACAGAACCGCCCACCTTTCGAAATTGAACTCCAGCTGTATTTGACGCTGCAGCTCTTCCACTGCAGACACCATGTCGAACTTGATTTCTGTCTTGGACAGGAAGGCTGCCCATTTACGGATGTTCTTGAGATCTTGTTTCATAATCTTCAGGGCACCTGGGTACTGGAGCTTTACAGCAACTGTGCCATCCTTAGGGGGATCGTCGCCCAACATTGCTCGAGCTGCAGCCTCAGGGGCTGACAAACCTGAGGCATTGAATCGAACAGGCTTCAAGTGTGCATTACTTTAGGCTCAAATCGGCAATGACCAAGTTTGCCCCTAACTAGACATGTCCTTGTGTCTGTCTAGACACAAGGATAGCTGTCAGTAAGACAACAATACAAGCACTCATAATTTGTTCGCCTATTCAGCAGATAATCACAGAATCCTTGTGGTTTATAAGACAGTATAAAGGTCTGGAAATCGCCATCCCTGGTCCAGCAAGTCCTAGGTACAAATACATGTTTGAGCTTGATGCAAATGCCAGTTTTATTCACTGGCCAAACATAGACCCAACAGGTGTTCTTCTAAAGAAAACCAAAACAACAAAACATGCATGGCAATCCTACAGTGAGTCTTTGAGAAAGTGGCAAAGAAGGGCAACAATGCATTGTGCCCGAATGTCCACACCTCCTGCCAAAGCAGTACCATCGCCCCCTCGCAATGTCTCTGGGATCGGAAGGTTGATCACCTGCCCACCAGCCAGGCGGCGCACATCAATACCTGGTGCAGTGGGACACTACGATAGAACAGAGTTACAAGATACAAAATCGGATGAACGATGAAAGAAACATCTGTGTCTATTGAACAGCATGCCTGGCATTATCCCCATCCATTAATTGCTTCATGAGGCATTGCAACACATTAAAATCACACCACTGTGCTTGTTGGGCCTTTCCCATGGTTGGTTTGTTGCAAGAAAAGTGTCTGAATTCAGTCAGGCCCTCTTCAGCTACAGTTCCACTTTGGGCATTGCCGCAGAACTTTGTTTGCGCCACAAATGAGGGGCACATGGCAACACACCACTGCGGCCCACAAACCAAACAACAGAACCAACAGTCTCCTTTCCATGGAGTGCATGGATAAGGCAGGCAGCTCTTTCTCATGAACAAGCGCAAGGAACGAACACAAAGTACCACAACACACATTGTTGGAACTCTTTCAGTGTGGGTAAATTTTTCGTTATTTGTTTGAATCAGCTTCAGTCAGGGCAGCAATCAACACAAGGTACACATTCCTCTGGTTTTCTCACCTCTGTTGGATTTCATCAGGTGATCAAAAGTGATCCCGTGGTGATTACATATGTCCCATGCTTGTTCCCCATTTTTCACAATGTAGCTTTGACTCCTCTCCACGCCACGGTGCTGTTTGACACTGTTTCGTTTCGCATGCCTCAGCTTTGCCTTGTGAACCTATGCATCAAGCTCCAGAGGTTGAACTTGAGCCCAAATATCATTGCTCACCAAGTACACAACAGCACACAGTTGTCCACATGTGAAAGGCATCAGACATATCCAACATTGAGACTGCCATTGCCATTCCTGCAGCATGGGATGTGTCAAGCCTGCCATGAAGCTTCCCTCTGTCCAGGTGCAGCGCACCTGTGCTATTGATGCTGAGCCAAGTGGCTTCTCAAAATCTACCCACTCGAACACCTCTCCGATGTCTTCAACACACAGCTCCTTCTTCAGCACGGCCTCTGCTTCTTGAGCTGGCATTGGTGGTACCTTTGTGAATAGCAGCATTGTCAGTACCAATTGATCCCTGGATGAGCACAGGAAGCAGCCAGGTAGCAAAGATGGTCGTCGTGGCATCATTCACGACACTGCAATGCTTTTTCACTTGTGCACATCCACACCTACATTTTGTTTGGATGGAAGTCATGGGCACCTGCCACAGCGCAATTTTGTGGTCTGGTCCACGGTAACAACCTTTGGCTCCACGTGAGATCAAGGAATTCCTGCCCCATTTGTGTCTTTAAAGAGCATGATTTTGGCTTGTACAGCCTCAATCGCAAAACATGCACTGCACATTTACTGCAGTTATGCCGAGTGCAGAAAGCCAAGAGTGTTACCCACCGCTGATGCTACTGGCATCATTGGATTCAAGTGGGCAACCAGTTGCTACCGTTTGCCTGTGCTGGGATCGAATTCATAGCACACAGTCACTAGATTCAGTTATGGAATGTGTGTGTTGGCATTAAAGCCACAATGAAGCCATTGAAGGCTGCAGCATTTTTCAAGAGCAGCAGGGCGTGCAAGGCTACAGATTGCATCGTACACGTATTACAGTGTCGCATTGATACCTGCAGCCTTGACCATCTTCAAGATGGTGCTCCTAATCATGATCTTTGGGCACTAAACTAACAGCGATCGGATATCCCTGCATCTGTCATCGCCTGCAACATGCAGGACTATGTTGTTCTGTTTCTGGAAAAATGCAGTCCATGACTTCTCATTCCACTGCATGCAAGGCGAAAGCACTTTGCTTGCCACCGCTTGTGCCAACTGTGATCTGCAGACTTTCATGTCACAGTATTCAACCCGCAAGGACGATCCCTTGCCCTGTGAAAGGAAGTTCATTGCAATCAGCAGGCAGAAATCTGCTCTCCCGACACAAGCACCGGCATGGATGTGCTCACTTGATCGTGAAGTTTCGAGAGCTGCCTGCACACAGGCTCCGGAATGAAGTCCCCGCGGGCGCCCAAGAATTGGCCAGCCTGACGGCGACACCAAAGCAGCAGTTCGTTACTGTACACGAAATGTCCGGATCTGGAATCGGCACACTGCCGAAAAAGGGAGAAAGGTCAAAGACACCATCAACGACATGGCCCCAAAAAGCAAGAGGCCCATAGGCACAGACCGCCATTCGCTGGCTTGGACGCGTGCCAAACATCCCGGAACCTCGCCATGCCGACGTCAATGCCGCCGACAGGACCAATCCACACTTCGGACACGTAATTAAACCCAAAGTGAGGATTGCGTCGGGCCCGCGAGGAACCGTTCGGCGCTCCCAACCTTCAGGTAGAATCCCCGAAGGTCCACGCATAGGTTGTACAGCTGCTGCCCCGCCCACTGGTTGTGCGGCTCCCACAGGTCCCTCTGGATCGCCTCCTGCTGCGCCCCCAAGATCCCCCTCGCCCTGGCGCGCGCTTGGGCGACCTTGTAGCTCAGGTAGATGCCCGACGCGCGGGCCCAGAACTCCGCCGTGCGTGCCAGGGACTTCAGGGGGCCGGCGTCCTCCTCCCTTGGCCCCGGCATGCCTTTCCCCCCGCCGCTCTTCGGCGCGCTCGGAATGTCGGGCGCGGAGGGGATCGCGGCGCCCGCATGGATCGTACGACGGGAACAAGGGAGAGGGGTTTCGCCATTCCATACCGGACCAAATTTCGCAGTGGCGCTGACGAAGGCAGGCAGGGTCGAAGGGTGGCGATCCCTGAATGGGAATTGTACGCTGGAGTCCACGGCAACGGTTCACAGCCGAGGCAAAAGGACAACAGGCGTTCTGTCCTCTATATTCAGTCCGTTCATCAGCGTCATTGATGCAATCCCCAGTGCTTCATCATCTTTTCATGCACTCAGTTATTAATAACACTCAATCAGTTCTAGCCTTAACAGCGCCGTGTGGTCGACTGTTGATTAGACGGTCTGAGCTGCCAGATCGGAGGACCCCCCCCCAACGCACTTTGGCGCTGACAGACTGTGTTAGCACCCGGTGCTATTCAGCAAAATTGTCGCCTTAGTAAAGTGACACGGCAACCAATGGGAACCATTCCTGGATAGCACCGCCGGTGCAATGGCACCGACCATTAAAGATGCTCTTAACGATGGTTTTTTGACATGTGGTGCTATTCGGATAGCAGAATAGCACCGCCAGGACAATAACTCAGACCGATAAAGAAGCTCTTACAGGCACAACCTCGATTCCTGCACTTTCCACATCAACTCAACGGCAACCTAACGCCGGTCTAAATCAAATTGAGTTGTTGCGACAACCCAAGCTGGGTGGGCTGATATCGCAAGGATGAGATTTAATCACGAGTCTTATCACTGGCACATGGTTGCTTTGTAAGACCGCGCCTATACACTTGGGCCCTCATGCATACCCTCGGTGCGGATAAGCTAGAGTGTCGCAGGCAACCAGCTTGATCGCGTCGCTCGCCGGATAGGATTGCTCAAAAAGGTCTGAGGTGGTGGGGGCCAGATATTGGAGTCCAAATGTAGTCTTTGCCCCATGGCGGTGGAGGCGGTGGTCAGAGAGGGTTGCCCGTGGCAGCTGTTGCGGCCCTAAGGGCGCCGCTGGTTTCCGAAGCTCGTGGGGTCGCCACGCCCTGCGGCTTGGCTGTTGGAGGTCAGCCAGCCCTCTCCACCGAATTCGGTGGGCTGAAGCGGGGCGCTCGTTCTCTCGGATGCGCGGTGGGCCCAGAACGATGGGGATCGTCCCC